TCAAAATATTCAAATACCATGTGAATATAGACACTAGAATATTCTGGAGCCCTGTAAATTGTACCTATAAAGTGTAATTAAGATAGGTCACTGTGTTGGCTTTAAGTTTTATGTGATACAAAATGTATTAAAGAAACAGTGCATTTAAAGCTATAGTGCTAAGATGCTCTTTGTACTGTCTGTAACACAGGTTTTTGTATTTATCAGTCATGTTTTTGGTGATCTTTATTGCAGTGTAATCAGTTTGTTTGCAAGTTCTTAGCAATGTGTGGGGGTGCATACAGTTATTATTGATTTATCTACATCTGGTTAATGGATTGTAATTTAACGTGAGCATATTTTTGCTGAAAAATTAGCATGATTTTAATGCATGAATTACAAAATATAGACGTTTGCTTGTTCGTCACCAGAAATCATAACTTCAAAATAATTTAATTTAGGGGGCTATTCAGCGAGCTCAATTCAGTACATTTTGATGTAGTAAATATAAGTAAATAACCAGCAAGTGGGTGTCCAAAACCCCCCTAAAACATGGATAGGATTTGCGGTCATAGTAGGTGAGGAGTGTTTGCCTAGTGTTACTCAGGTTCCATCACTCTAATTATCTTTTCCGTGATAAAGCAGCATATAAGGTGAACTGCCCTCTCTCTGCAGATATTCATTGTTCTATTTCGTTTACAATATTGTCATTACATGCAGCCGGACTACGGCACACTAGAGAGAGAGAGAGAGAGAGAGAAATATGACAAACACAGCAAGGGAGTTGCCTGCTATTTATTTATAGGCTGTAAAGAAAACAATAACAAAAATAATTAGAAATGAAAAAAAAAAAAAACGAAGAAATTAACGTGAGCAGATCCAGGGGGACAGCTTTATAGAGGACACAAATACAGTGTGTACCTTCAGCTGACAGACTTGCTAACAATTACATAAATTCCGAGATATCGTGTGTAGACCCCCTATTTCCTTTGGATCATTATCCCTGCCTTCTGCTTGTGAGTCTGTATTTTATAAATTCCCAGATTAGCAAAACTCCAGTACTGGGGGAGGGGGACAGTCGACAAATCCAATTTCTATATAGGGTTGGCACAAATAAATATCTCTAAAATACTGTGCCGACTGTCACAACTATGATTTTTGGCTTTCCATTCAGTGACTTGTATTAAAATGTCCAGTGCTGGTCCATCTGGGCTAGCACTTTTATCTGATAATGTTCAGCTTCATTTTACTCTCGTCGCTGAAAGTGACTCAAAGATTGTGTTTTGGGCAACAACAACAAGAAAATATTTTTGTATGGGAGGATGTAAAAGTTTGATATTGAAATTGGGTTCCTACCACCCCTCGACCTCAGTGGTGGAACTAATGCAGAGATGGCCCTGTTTTGGGACTCCCTATAGCGCAAGGGTGGCCAAAAAGTAGATCCCCATCTGTTGTACAACTCCAAAGATGCTATGAGAGCTCGAGATCTACCATTTATCTACTATTCGTGAGCAGTGTTTGTACGCTTGAATGTAAGCATGTTTTTGTATACAGTATGTTTGTGCATGTAGAGATGTGTTTGTGTGTAATGTTGCCATTGGAATGCAGGGTTGTGTTTGTATGTAGTGTTGGCTTTTAAATGCAGATGTACATATATGTGTATTTTTGGTATGTGTATGAAGAGGTGTTTCTAAAGACCAATCAGGATGTCTCACAATGAGGGATACAGCAACCTAGAAAGATTGCATTGCCTTTGGATGTTATTGGATTATAACGCCCATCATTTTAAACAAGCCATAACCATACGTAAGCCCACTGCAGTGGTTATGATGTAAGAAGTACCCTGTCTCCCAGTTATGGTGCAATGGTTTGCCCTCTTACCTGGTCCTCCCGGGTGCTGGATTTTTTTCTAGGGCAGGCAGTGACTTTTGTCTGATTTCTGCAGAGCAGCAGAGCCAGAAGTGATCCTGCCAGCTCATTCATTGGCTGAGAGCAACTGCTGAGCGCTTTTAGCTATCGATTGTAATTATGTGCATCCTTTGCTCATGATGCCCCAATGACGCTGTCGGAGCAGCAGAAGGAATAATCTCTGCATTTGAAGAGTTTTACAGCGTAAAGTTGCACATGCATACGTCAGGTACCATAACCAATTCAAATCACTGAAGTGGTTATGGTGTTTGGAATAACCCTTTAAGTTCTATTTACTACAGCTTAATAAAGAGTCAAAACTCAAACTTTCTCTCACGCAACTAGGGAACCTTGTGATAAATCCCCCTCCGCTTTGCATCCTTATAAAATCTTTTTTTTTGGGGGGGTCTTGCTTCTATGCATAATTTGAATGAGTGGCACATTCCTGCTGCACTCAGAGGGTTAACAGCAAACGTAGAAAAAAAATCCATAATATGCATCCCCCTTGTCCCCTTCTGCTTGCCCGTGGGTCCCATCCTAAAAGGAAATGTGGGCCAACAGGTTAAGCAGTCTGGCTGTGGATTGATCGGACCATTCATCTTAAGACAGAAAACTTTCAGTCTGCCTAGGATCAATGGCATTATAAATTGGCTCATCGATTTCCGATAATAATGGCAGAGGTGGTTACACAAATGAATCTGCAGCCAAGGCCAGCGTCCAAAGAATCTCTAACTAGATCGCCATTGACCCTGACTCTGATACATAGACATAACTCTCAGATATTCTGTCAGTGTTCACCGTATAAATACACCAATCTGAACTCATGCTACGACTGATAATGCAAACTGTCTTTCACCCTGATATTCAAGGACTGGAATACATAACTTTCTCTATTCCTCCTCCTCATCCTGTCTCTGAAACAATTACCTCTAACTCTGATTCTCTCTCTTCTGTTGACATCTCTTGTTATATCAGTTTTTTCTCAGAGTCAAAGAATAAGCTATGTTTTTTTGTGTGCGTGTGTGCACAGTTATGTCAGTTTTTTTTCCTTCTTCAGTACAGTCACAGCTGTCCCTATGTCTGGCATTCTACATCTGTGATCTGTGCAACTATCTGTAGCTCTGCTCCTTCTAACAATTATTGCACTCTCATTGTACCTCTCGGTGCAATCGTACCCAAACACCCCGCCGTTTCTTCTCCTCGCCCGTCTCTTCTCTTTCTGCCAATCAGCTCTGTTATCTTCTCATGACATACACAAACCAAGTGACAGGCATGAAATCGGAAACACAGATAGACAATGACAAAACCATAAAAGAAAAAAAAAAGAATAGAAAAATGACATGCATGGGGTTTCGCCTTAAGCTCCACAAAAGACAACCAGACCATCAAAGTATTATTGCTAGTGCTGTTCCTTCCACGAGAAAAATGTAAGGAAATTGTTCAAAAGGTACTACTGTATTGATGCAGATAAAGTCTTATCTGCAATGATTCAAGTTGGCGCACTCTGTCGAAGAGAAAAAAGAGAAAGATGTGCTGAATTCATAAAATTCATGCCAAAGGAATACCTCATTTTTTTTTCACAATGCCCTTGGACCCTGAGCTCATTTCTTGATCTTACCTCCACAACTCAAGTACATTCTTTCATCACTATCCACGATTCCCTGTATGATGTAATTCCAATCTCTAGTACTATAAATTTAATCTCTATTGATTAGGGTGATTTTTGGAGTAAAGCAAGATTAAGACAACAATGGACCTTAGGTCATGTACAACATTAGCCATCCCTCAACATTTTTTAAATTACCAGGAGGGTAAATTCAAGCAAACCAACAAAACGTCCAGTGTTTAATTCACGGTGAAGCTCCTAGAATTGTAAAAATGATGGAGAGATAGTGAAAGAAAGATTAATAAATAATATTTAAGAGAATAGAACTGGGAAATTTAGAAGAAGATTCTCTATGGCCAACAACATTGTCATTCAGAAAATGGACATTTTGCTGTGCTTTCTTGTTGTCTCTCTGCATGTGAAGGCATATATACAAAATATTTTAATATAACTTGCTGGAATGTGAGACCCCAAAAATAACTGGCATCAATCTATGTCCGTAGCTATCACCATAACCAAAATAATAAGGCAAGGAATAGTATTATTTTATTGGCAAATAAAAATAGATTTTCATTTATTTTTCTCATGTTAAATTTACAATATGACATTTTGTTAAGAGAGGTGTCATAATGTCTCTAATTTCTCTTTTTCATTAACTAGAATGGTCATGATCTCTCCTTGGTTCAATCCAGCATAAGGCATCGTTGCATTATGAGTTTGTAACTTTATACGCATATTGCAAGTGCATGAATGTTCTAACGTACAAAAAAATACAGTGTGCGTTTTCACCCTGTGCAATGAGTGTGTCAGAATTACTAATTGATCCAGCATGTAGAACTGTGTCACACCTAGGACTAATTGGTAACGTCTTACCGGACCTTAGAATGGCCGGACTTGATTAATATGTTATATTTTGCAATTCTTTATTTTTGCGTGCAAGGTTAGTTACAATACTACCCGTATGGCCACAACAGCCTTCCAGGTTTTTAAATGTTTCATGACATCACAACATAGTTTAGGCATATATGGCAGTCTGTCGATTCTAATCTGTGGTGTCAGCTAGTTCTGCACATTTTAATATAGTTTATGGGTCAGTTGGTGTCAAACTGAGGCAACATTGGAGTAAGTTTGAGGAGTGTGTCTTTTTCCCCTCCAGTGCCAGGATTGTAGTAGTGTGGGGGGGTAAAGAACTCAAGGGTTGTCTGTTTGGAGTTGGCTGGTTGCGTGTTTGTGCCCCCTTATATGTTCCCTGTTGGGGTTGATTGCGTGTGTGAATGGTTGTCCTCAGTGACGTTTGTGTCCACAGGTGAGTACTGTGGAGTCCGCATGTGTCAGCGTGTGTACGTTTGCGTGTAGGTATATGTGTGTATAGGGGTTGTCGCTCATTGAGCCTATTTGTGCCTCTGCGATCGTCCAGTGGGTTGGGAATTGACTCCTTACCGAGGAGGGGGGGGGGGGTGGGAGAAGGTGTATTCTCCCTGGAGATTTTGGTGTATGTGTCAGGGTAAGTCTTGTCTGATGTTGAGTCAGCAGCAGTTATTGTGTAGCGTGAGTTAGTCTTGTAGGTGCATATGTTACAGCAATACATTGATAAAATAAACAGTGAAACAACAGGTGAAACCAAAGGTAAAACAGAAGGCAAGACAGTAACCGGTTAATGCATTGTATGCTTGTTGGCTACAATTTTTACAGTTCAGGTCAGTTCTCTCCGGTGCTCTCTATTCCTGGGGATGAATGGAGTCGTTCTGTCAGGATCCCAGGTGTGCGATGACGTGGGAGTTTCTTGTGCTGCGGGTCCGGCTTGAATCCCCAGTGCGCGTAGGAACTGTTCTGCCTCCTGTAGTGAGGAGAGATAGTGTGTGTTACCGCTTTTGGTAACAGTCAGGATCCTTGGTAGAGTCCATTTGTACTCAATTTTAGCTTCACGCAGACTGCTTGTCACTTGTGCCAGGGACCTGCGCCACAACAGCGTGTTTCTTGTTAAGTCCTGGTAGAAGGTAATGTGGGATGATTCAAAAGCAAGTGGTGTCTTTCCCCTGACTGCTGTAAGGATCTTGATTTTGTCTGCCACTGAGTGGCACTGGATGATGACGTCTTGTGGAGCTGTGGCTGGGGCTTGTCTTGTTTTTTTGATCCTTAAGAAGCCGTCTAGTGTGAATTTTTTGGCCTGGGCATGTGGTAGGAGTGTGGCGGTGAGACGTCTGAGGTAGTGGGGTAGTTCTGTGGAGTCAACGCTATCCGGTATCCCCCTTAGTTTTAAGTTAGTGCGCCTGTTGCGGTCCTCTGCTAGGTCCATTCTCATATTGAGGTTGGACTGGGATGTCTGCATGAATATTATTTGTTCTTTTAGCCCCTGTACCTCTTGTTTAAAGTCTAGGGTGTCCTCTTCGGTGGCTTGAGTGCGTGTAATTACTGCCTGCATTTCGGTCCTTAGTAGGTCCATATCTGCTGCGTGCATTTGTCTCATTTCTTTCAGCAGGTCGGCTATGTCTTGTTTAGTAGCCGGTGTGATGTTAGTTCTGTTAGTTTGTGGATCCCTTATTGGGTGAGCGGTTGATTGTTCTTGTTCGGCTCCGGATTGCTCTCCTTCATCTTGGGAGGCAGTTGTGCGATCTGGTGAGGCCGCCATTGGTCTTTGCAGCAGGTCGCCTATGTCCTGTGTGTTCCTGCTTGTGTTCTGTGTGGGTCTCTGGGATTTTCTACCCATGTTGTAGTCGTTAGGCGCAGCTGTCCCAGTCTGCAGGTAGGCGTCTTGGTGCACTCTCAGAGCTGTAAGTTCTTGTGCTAGCCTTGAGGCTTGGTAGGCGGTGTAGGCCCCCCGTTTTTCCGTCTGGTCTTTCTGCACGTTTGCGGATACAAAAAAGGCATCGGCGTGTTGCTCACTTACTAGTGTTTCCCCGGGAGCCAGTAGAATTCCTCTGCAGGTGCCACAGGGCTTCGTTTTAGGGTCTTTTTGCCGTCGTTTGTCCGGAGCTCGGAGGTGATGCGACCGTTCCTGTCTGGTGCTCGGCTCCGCCCCCCCAATACGTTATATTTTGACATTGTTTCTGTTTGGGGTAACAGCAAGCATTTTAGATTAATTTAATAAACCCTTAAGAGTTAATGCTCATATTTCTAACAAGTATATCATCATTATTTTTTCAGCTCATGATCAATGTTCTAGAACGATTATGTTTGTCTGTAGTAATCCTATTATTAACACAAGATCGAACGCAGATTTATTGAACTCCATTACAGTCCATTAATATGTGGGAACATTTCTACTGTTAGAAATACACATCTGTGGGCTTTATACATTAAAGGGTCACACCAGACCCCTAAAGCACTTTAACTTGCTAAAAAGCTTTATTTGAAAAGTGTGTCCTATTTTTTTAATTTTGCAAAATTTGCAGATTTCAATAGAAACTGACACTTTTATAAATTATACGGGTTACACCCCTCTCGCTTGTCAAGCAGACAACAGGTCCTGGTACTTCTGGTTTTCGTTAGCTTAGTTGCAGTGAACTCAAGAGGCAGCAATTACCCAAAGCACCTGCCTTGCAAAGACTTCGCATTGAGCTGCATTGGGAAGCTTGTGATTGGACAGCCACATAAAGTATGGGCGGGGTTAGAAGAGGAGGTCTTGCAAAGGCAGCAGAAAAGAGATCTTCAGTTTTTGCAAGCTGTTTTTAGATATAACTCCAATTAAAAAAGACATAATACAATGCATGCAAGTTCATTTGGTGTATATCTACTATCATGGATTCTTATCTATTTTGTATTTTGGCTGTGGAGTGTCCCTTCAATAAAAAAGGGATCTCTCACTTCTCAGGATTTTTAAAATTATGTTTACATATCCCCCTAAAATTAACATAAAGGGATTAATTGGGCAAGTGTGAAAAATTAATTAATCTAGAAATTCACTACTGTTTATTCTGCAACTGGGTGCCTCTATCTTAGCTCAATGTCAATAATTCTGTCCCCTAGTTCTGCCTGGACTGAACTGGATTGTGAAGTCATTTGCAAAGATTTAAAAGAAAGTGTCACATTAAAAAAAGGTTACAGTTATAAGTGATGTTCAATGATTATTGTGAAAAAAAGTCCAGAGGAGTGGTGTTTCCCCTTTAAGAGACATATATTCTAAGCAATGAATTGGAGTGAATCAAATCAAGGGAATTACAAGCATTGGTCCCTAATTCGTCAGAAAAATTGTAAAGTGAGATATACTTTTTTCAAATTGCCTTAAACAAACCTAAATGATCGGACACAATCTGGTCATTATAGGTAATGGGAGGAGCGTATTGAAACTAGTCAATCTATGTAAATTCTAGTGACTTTAAATGTTATCGCAAATGTAGGCTAAAACAGCTAAGCAGTGACTATAATTGAGTTAGAGAAGTTTTTCAAATCAACTATTTTATTTGCATGTCATTTTACAATTCAATTTGTAATTTAATGGATAAACCCCTGAGCGTTCGTCGTAAAACAGTGAAAGATTAAAGTAGGTTTAATGAAATATATCAAAAGAGAAATTTTGCAAAACATGAGAAATTTCTAAAAAAAATTCTCTGTTTTGTGCTTATTTATAAAACCATTTTCCACTTTCCATGTTTATATCTGCGCTCATTTTGCACGATGAAACGTTTCAGTCTATCAGAGAAATATTGAACGCTTTTTTTCTCCAGATCCTTTGAGAAATATTAAAATGTTTTATAATAGCTGTAACGTTAATCATTTTACTCAGATTAGTAAATGAGCTTTTGCTAATTATCTAATAAAATGATTACAGAATTTGCTAATAATACAGACTGGATTTTTACCTTCTAATGTTTAAAATCCAGGCGTTTTTCTGATGCCCAAGAGAACTATAACCCTAGTTAAAAAATGAATGCTTTAGCACAGGTTTCTCCAAACTCTGGCCCTCCAGATGTTGCTGAACTACAATATCCATGATTCTATGAATGAAATAGAGAGACTGAGAATCATGGGAGTTGTAGTTCAGCAACATCTGGAGGGCCGGAGTTTTGGGGAAGCATGCTTTAGCACAACAACTTGAAGGGACAAAATGAAACACCTAGCCTACTATGGGAGGGGATGTGTAGCCATCAGTCATGTTAGGGAAATGTGTTAAAGAATCAAACACAGAGAAATGGGACAGAGTTCAAAGACTGGAGCAATCGCCATGGAAACTAGTGGAAGCAATATACTCATTCCATTGGTATCCGTGGTGATTGTTGTGGTTTTAGAACTTTGGCCAACACTTTTATGAGTCACCCTTATAGATTCCATTTATACAAAAGAACATTTTTTTAAAATTCACAGTATACATGTTAATTTTTTTGACAGATGTTCCAAAATGACTGAAAAGGTAAACGGTTACAGGATTTTTAATATTTTGTTCACTTGTCCCCAGATATAACTTCTGAAAAATTAATATATATAGAAATATACATGACAGGCGCACAGTCGGATTTGCCGGCATATGCGCTAACCTTACCCCAACCCCCATTAAAACACGGACACAGGTTATACTGTTGGAAATAATTTGTCCACAGCTTTATTAAATTATTAATAAATAATTAAGGAATAACAAATGGGGTCATTGCCAACAAATCTTAATAATGTTAACCTCCCCATATACATAACATACCCCTAGCAATGACCCCACAATAATAACAATAGATAACAATATAAATAACATGTTAACACAGAAACTGGCCGTCCAATTTGACCACATTTCCACCAGGTTAAATTGTAGGGGTGTACCGAGACACCGCTACCCACCATATCCATTGTAGGGGTGTACCAAGACACCGCTACTCACCATATCCATTGTAGGGGTGTACCAAGACACCGCTACCCACCAGTTCCAGTGTAGGGTGTACCAAGACACCACCACACCCCCAGGTTCGGAGCCACCGACGGGCTCGAACCTACCAACCACGTGCAGCACTGCCCAATCCACACTAAACCTCAGGATGCCCACTTTCTCCTCCATCTACCCTCCGATTTAACCAGGCCATTCCTCGCCGCTGTGAAAAAACGGGAAATCAACTAACCTAACCAAATACAGGGAGGGTGGGAGGGACAACTGACAGGTAAGCTTAGGTTCAGTTAAAATGGCCACTTCATATAATGGCTGGTATAAATACTCCCCTTATGGCTCCGCCCTACCCAGCATGCTAGCTGTCACTAAATTCCTGTGGCTGCTATGCCTACCTCCTGGCTCTGTCAAGGCCTATTCCTCTTAGCTGCGCTGATCCATGGGCTACATGACAGGCGCACAGTCGGATTTGCCGGCATATACGCTAACCTTACCCCAACCCCCATTAAAACACGGACACAGGTTATACTGTTGGAAATAATTTGTCCACAGCTTTATTAAATTATTAATAAATAATTAAGGAATAACAAATGGGGTCATTGCCAACAAATCTTAATAATGTTAACCTCCCCCATATACATAACATACCCCTAGCAATGACCCCACAATAATAACAATAGATAACAATATAAATAACATGTTAACACAGAAACTGGCCGTCCAATTTGACCACATTTCCACCAGGTTAAATTGTAGGGGTGTACCGAGACACCGCTACCCACCATATCCATTGTAGGGGTGTACCAAGACACCGCTACCCACCATATCCATTGTAGGGTGTACCAAGACACCGCTACCCACCAGTTCCAGTGTAGGGTGTACCAAGACACCACCACACCCCCAGGTTCGGAGCCACCGACGGGCTCGAACCTACCAACCACGTGCAACACTGCCCAATCCACACTAAACCTCAGGATGCCCACTTTCTCCTCCATCTACCCTCCGATTT